CCAGGGACCCACTGCCACCTCTCCTGCCTCACCCAATGACAGAGTGTGCCATGCCCTACCAGCTCATCCCTTCACCCAGGGACCCACTGCCACCTCTCCTGCCTCACCCAATGACAGAGTGTGCCATGCCCTACCAGCTCATCCCTTCACCCAGGGACCCACTGCCACCTCTCCTGCCTCACCCGGTGACGGAGCGCACCACATAAACTAACCCTTGCCAGGAACTCCAGCTCCAATGCAAACCCTTTCCTGCCTTCTCCTGTCTTTTGGGAGGTTGGAGGTTTGCATTGGAGCTGGAGTTTACAGCATGCATTGGGAGGATGAAACCTTCAGCCTTCCTCCTGCAAGGTCTCACAAAGGGACATTAGTTTCCAACGCAAGCTGCAGAGTGCACGCTGTGCGTCTAGGAAGTGCTTGCTCTTCTTCTTCCAGTTCCGCCGCCACCCTGAACAGTGCCTCCCGCATAGCCACCACCTTCACCCAGGGAGACACTGCTGCCTCTCCTGCCTCATCTGGCAATGGAGCGCACTGCGCCCCACTGGCTCGTCCCACTGTGCTCTCCACAGTTTGAGGGCTATGACTTTCACATTGGCAGCAGAAGAGAGGGCTCCTCTGCCCACACCACTGCCCTGCCTCCTGCCTCCTGCCTCCTTCTCTTTTTTTTACTTTTTACTTGGTTGGACTTAGGAACAAAATGGACTTATGAACAGCCTCTTGGAATGTAACCTGTTTGTAAGTAGGGAACTGTCTGTATAAGAATATGAAGGAATATAATTAAATTATTTCTATAATATATACTTTTTCAGATTTTGAAGAAGATGGACAAAACACCGCCTTAGGGGAGAAAGCCACTCTTGCTCCAGAAGCTTTAAATATCCAACCTGCAACCAACAACACTTTACAAGTAGAACAAGATAAGTGTAAAGGTACATCTAGTTGGGGAGCTGGCGACATATGCTGTTTTTTGCATGTCTGAAATTCATTACAAAGCTTCCTTGGCTCTTTTCATTTCAATACTAGTCCAAACAGCTTCCAGTAGGCTGAAGAAAAAAGAAAAACAGAAGCTCAGAGGGTAATGTGCTGCATAATTGGAGGTTAACATGCAAACTCAAGGTTATTTAATATTAGCTATTTAGAGTTGTTTGTGCAACACAGCTGTATGTGGTAATTTCAGCCTCACAGATGGGGATGGCTCAGGTGGTGTTTGCCAATAAAAGAAGATTCTAGAGAATGGATATAAGGGTACATTATTTGGTTGCACATTTACCTTCTGATGTGATGACCAAGATTATAATTAGGGGAACTTTAAAGGGATTTGCTTTAACTGTTTTTAATGTGTTTTGAAACATTGTATTCCTCAGATAATGGTCCCTGCAAGCACATATGTAATACGATGGAAGGGAAAATTGTGTGTTCTTGTTCACTTGGCTTTGTCCTCATGTCAGATGGTGTTTCCTGCGAAGGTAAGTCTGCTGAAATCGAAATCCTTACTTCTCAGCTACTCCTATTGAAGGGCTTTAGACAGTGTCAGAATAGTTCTATTATTCTATTTACTCGTAAGGATAAACATTCCTATAAAATCTGCATATTATATCCCTAAATCAGCTTTTGCACAATTAATTGTACAAACAGTTGTAAAACAGCTCAATCATATGCTTTCCCTTCATTTACAGTTCTCTGGTGCTTTGCAGTCTCTAGCTGGTAACCCTACCAACTTTAAGTTCCATTCCTTAACTTGGCAAAAAATATGTTTTAATTTTACATCATTCGTAGGGTACTTCCAGATGGATGTCCCCTAGCATCCCCAATTGAAGGGCAAGAAACACTTATTCTGTGTATCTTTCCTTAATGGATATTCTGTAATAAGAAAACCATGGGAAGGTTGCAGTTGCAAGATAAGGTTAATTAAACTCCTCTTTGAATGAGGCAGGGTAGTTACCTCTTAAAAGCATCCGGTAAAGCTACTTTTCAGCTTCATGTCCAACCTATCCTTAGATGTCACTTGGTTACAAATATACTGAAAACACAAAATATGCAGTTAAAATCAATGTAATACTGTCCTTCTGCTAAATCAGAAGTAAGCCCCACTGAGGATGCATAAAAATGTATCCTAACGTTAACTTCATTATTATTTATTACCTATCCATTTTAAGTATATTTGTATTGCTTTCCATTGTAAGTAACATTGTGGCTTACAAATGAAGCAGAACCAGAAATTTCAGCCATTAGGATGAGTAAATGAAGTAGTTAAGGTTCTGAACTAAGAGTGGGGAGACCTGAATTCTAGTTCTGCCTTAAGCACAGAAGCCAACTGGATAACTTTAGGCCAAGACAGACAGGCAGACAGACAGATGAATTATTCCAATGAGACTGATGGAGGCTTTTGAATATTTCCACTGGCACCAGAAGATAATTGCAGGGAAGACTTTCCACTTTCTAGCACTGTGCCATTTGGGTAGATTCTCTATGAGAGAATCACCTTGGTGGCTCATTGTATTAAAAGATCCAAGTTTGGGCTTGGGGTGAGATGAAGCAAAGGGCTGGAGTTGAAAGCCTCAGTAATAACAAGCTAGGTCTGGAACTCAGATGAAAGAAAAGCCCAACTGTTATTTTTAGAGAGCAAAGTTTGCAAGGATGTGGATGAACCTGAACAGCAGCATCTTTTTTACTTTGTGAAGATCTTAAATATTCTTAAGATCACACACATCAGTCTTGCTTATTTGGTTAATTGCCCTACATCTTAAAGGAGTCCAGAGCATTGTACAAAAAGAATAACAATCTTCCTACAAAATTGATGCCTCCTTAAATAATTAAACAATTCAACAGATAAAGGAAAGTTCAGGCTTAAAGATAGCCTGATGTTCCCCTTAACGGTGACATGTACCCAAGCTACTTTTTTTTCTCATGGAACAGCACGACTGTCTCCCCTGACTATTCTTTGCTGCATCTCCTCATGATCTGATAAGATTATTTTGCTGTGGAAGAAGTGTTATTTCAGCCCATGAATAGTGTAATTTCTAATATAATTAAATTTTCCCCTCTTCCTTCTGGCTGCTACATGTTTATAAAGACTTTGATGAGTGCCTTACAGGTATATACAATTGTTCTGGGTGATCACACTGGGATCATTCTACTGCACCAACAACGTTAGGGTTTTGTACTCAACATACATAGAAATAGTTGGTAAAATGATAGGTATACACAATTCATTCTGCATTGTCATTCTTCATGCTATATGCAGCACGTGCTATAAGCTTTCTAATTATATTTGAGTCCATGAAAATGATTGTTTCATTTTGAGGGGAGATGATTTTTAACATGGGATATACTAACATGACTTTTTAAAAATCATCTGCCTTTGTACAGACAGCTTTACTTTCACTGCTTTTAATGTTGAAGTTTTGGTAGGTCGACTCTCTATATCGTTGATCTCATAGAAACAATGAAAGCAAGTGCAGCAAGCAAAACTCAGAAAGTAGGAGAGAAATAACTTATCTCAAATAATGAATATATATAATTTGTAATACTTGGGCTAACTTTGGGATAGATCAGTTCTTGTTCTGACTGTTTAATAGTGTTAGTAAAACTTTACTAATATTAATGACGGTATTATTGGTGGTCTTGTTTTATGGCACTGTGCTACAAAGTAACTTTGAAATGGGGAAATGGTTCATGTATAGTATTGTTTATTTGTCATTTATTGCTTTATCCTGCTTTTCAACCAATAAAGGCTCTCAGTGTAGCTTACAGTTAATAACAATATGGTTCCTGCTATGTTGTTGGGGAATCTGTGTTCTTGTTATGTGGCAGAAAGCTATTACAGGTTTCCTGGGTACAGAAAGTGTCTGCATATCATGTTAGTGTACTAGTTGTCTATAGACTAGATCTGGTGGCTGAGTAGCAAAAGAATACAGTGATTAGCCAGGCTTTTAGGCAATGGCAGATGTGAACCATTGGTTCTGGACTGCAAATGATTCATACCAACCCAGGGGAAGCAATAGACCTACAAGGGCCTGGCAAAATTGAGTTCTTAAAGAGCACTGCAATCCCAATAGGTTGTTCTTTTCTTTATCGCTCCATTTGCTTTTAGTAATTAACAAAACCCTTAGAAGGAATTTGGGTTGATAGGAGCCATCTCTGTGCAGGAGTAATTGAGTTGCCAACTGTGAGCAAAATTTACAGATGCTTGGGGAGGGAGCAAGATTGCCTATTTTAAGATTTGTAAACTAGATTTTATTTTTTGTCCCTGTAGGTTTTTGTACCACTGCTTTTGAAGTTGATAATGTGGGGTACAGGAGTGAAATTCCACATATTGTCTAGACAGCAGCATAAGTGAGTTTCTTCCATTCAGCACCCCATCTTGCCCTGTGGGTGGCTGCTTGCAAGAGGCTTCTAAAATCTCAAATCATACTTTGCTAGGGCAGGACATGACACTTTCCAAACCAGGACTGGAAAGAAGCTAGTGGAGATCAGCCCTGATGCTCATTTATCCCACTAAAGAGCAACACAAGTGAATCAGTACAACAGAACTGTGAGAGATTTTGTTTTCCAAAGTCTCTTTCTGCACAGTACTTGTCCAGTTCTGGGGTACTGCAGGTTAAGATATTGATAGCTACTTTCAGTCTACTGCCTGGCATTATCTATTAAGAATGAACTTCAGGAAACCTATCACATGTTCAGGGAAGAATAAAGAGAGCTTATAATAGTCATGTTTTCCTCCCAAGAACACGTAACAGGGCAAGCAAGGTAGCCCAAATATGCATAAGCATGATGTGCTTTTCTAAAGATTGGATCAGGGTGCTAAAGGGAGCAATTTTCACACACCAGAAGGGAAAATCAAATAGCATCCACAAACAACAGCTCTTCTAACCAAGGAGGTCTTGAACCAACCACTCCCATTTGCACGACGCTCTGTGTACAGCAGACCCTTTACCATCTCACTGAATAGAGGGTCTACAGGGAATGTGACTTTCATATTCATTGATAGTTAAGTTATAGCTACCCTGTCCACATTCTTCTTTTCTGTTTTAATTGAACATGTGATAGGTTTCCTATATTTGTGACATCACAGTATTGTTCTTCAAACTGTCCCTCCGCCGAGAAGTACCAAGCATTCACTAATACAGTAATTGTCTTTCTGTATAGATGAAGATCATGTAAGCATAAGACAGGCACATAAGCTCACAGTATTCTATTTGAAACTGTGAAGAGAAGATAATTTTCAAAGTCAGGGGCTGTGAATGATTTGGAAATGATTCAGAAGAAATGCTTCGGATCAGCACAGCGCTGCTCTGTTGTTCATTAAGAAGCCTGTCTTGTTCAAGCTGAACATCAGCCTTAAAAAAAGCTGCTGTTGCTGTAAGGAATCTCCTTATTACAGTTCATGTGACTCTTAAAGCAGACTGGCTGGGAGGCCCCTAGATGACACATGCGCCATTCCCCCAACGCAGAAAGATCCCCGGGAGCTTTGGCACTGCAGGAATAGAGTGGGGGAGAGGCTTTCCTCGCTCTTTTGGGGCTGCAATGCCAACGCTGCAGGGGGTCATTCTAAGCCAAGAAAACCTGCAGTGGGGGGTGGGGCAAAGCCGCTTTGGAGACGTGGGTCTTCCGCCTGCACTTATGTAGGAAAAGAGTGAGGAGATCTGCTTCTTATCCTGCTCTCCCCTGCTTCACCTGCCACCCTGGTTGCACAGAATTTAAAACTCAATTCTTGACTCAAGAATGTATATTGCCCTGATCAACGTTGAGTCCATACTCAGAATGCTGAAATTTGAACTGAACCTCCACTTGTGTAGGCAGGAGAAACACAGAAATGTAACCATTTTTTAGAACGATGGAGAATGAGAGGAGGCTTGTTGCTGGATACATTCAGGATGCAGAGAAGGTGAATAAAACCCCAAACAAAACTAGCCTTGCACCCCAAAGAGCTTTGATTTGTAGAGAGGTGGTAAAAGTCATTGACACAGCTGTCAGAAAGTCCACCCTGTTATTCAGCTTTCCCAGCCTTCTTCATAAGACAACATTTTACATTGTCTGTAACAACCCTAAAAGCAGCAGAAAAAAGTAAAGAAGTGCCTGATTCCGTTTGCTGCTTTGATGCAATTCACCACTTTAATTTGTGAATATCCTTCAATAGGGCGATTTGGCAAAGCTTCACTTGAACTGAAGCACCCCTTGAAAGTTTTCAACAGCCTTGATAATGAAACACCACTCATAATTTTGTTAGCTGCTAGGAGAGGTTTTTCCAATTATTTTATTTTATTATTTAATTGTAAGAGGGTGGTGGTCGTTTAGGACCAGGACTCTGGATTGAATGAATTCTGAGGATTCCATTCATAAGTTAGCTATTATAAATCATCATCACCATCACTGTCATCACCACCAGTCAATTGCAAAAGGCAGCTTTACTTGGAACAGCTTACATCCTGTGATGATACCTTTAACACCATGAAACAACATCTGC